TTTTTTGTACTCAAGCCTATCTCCTCATTAATCTTGTTTAATCAATTTTATTGTCCCTAGGGCAGAGCTGCTCGTGGACAGGTATAACTGGTGATATTGAAGTAGCCTTGACATATGAATCAAAGGGAAGAAGAGACCCTGGCTGTGAAGAGGCTTCTATTCATCCTGATAAAGTTTTAACTTTGGTAACAAATATTTAATGCACTTTCATTTAAAGAAACCTCTCTGTGAAATGAAAACAATAAACAGGTGCTGATGGCTTAATAGCTTAAGTGTAGGTTGAGCATTCAATCAATCTGAAAAGCAACTTATTGTGAGTATATTTCAAAATGGTGGAAGTTATTGCTATGATACATCTAATCATAATGGTAGTGGGAAAAATATATCCTCTCTTAAGAGCTGTGAAAAAACCTGTCATTCAGAGATCAGTTTGTTAGATTCCCTGTGGAGTTCAGTCATCTATGACTGTGCTGAATAGCTAAGTAAGGCTAAAGCAAAGAACTGACCAATTTATTTAAAAAGATGCCTTGGACAAGCTTAGGCCTAATGTGGGTGCAGGAAGGGGGAGGACAAGTCCTGGATGCTCTGCTACTAGGAGACAGGTGCTGCTGCCTCCCATTCTCCCTGCAGCCAAATTGCTTGGAAGCAAATGCTCCTCATTGCCATGCACCTTCTGAGGTGCTAACAGGAATTGCCAGCTCTGTCTCCTGAGGAAACAAGATGTAGGAAACCATATGGACTTGTTGGATCTAATACTCCATTTTGTCTATAGCAAAAATAGTTTGAAATGTTAGCAAATCTTCACCTGCTTTGGTGGTAGCCTGGATGGGAGGTTCCTGTCATTCATGTGACAATTTGCAGATGGACAGTGGAGAAAATCCGTTGGTATCAGGGGTGATAAGAGGGGAGAAATCAGCCTGCAGCTGTTCTTTGCTTGCTCAGCAGCCACTGCTTGACTAGTAAGCAGGGTTACCAGCCTCCTGTGTTCCAGCAGCCTTGCATGGACCCTTGGGAAAGCCAAACATGGTGCTTGGAGCTGGCAGTGCTGCCCTGGGAGGGAAAGGAACAGTGGAGAACAGCTGAGAGCCCCTTGCAGGAGGTGAGGACACCAGGGTATTACTGGGATACTTGGCAGGAATATCTCATTGGGAGCCGAGCTGCACTAGTCCAGCAGGACTAGTGGAACTGCTCCCTTCCTTTGCTTTCACTACCTGCTGCTGCAATATAGCACTGCCTGCTACCTGTGAACCCCTGGAAGATCATCTGCATCTACAAACATAACCCTTCTTCACACAGAGGTTAAAATGATAAGTTGAAATAAATGTGAACAGATGCACTTTCTTATTGGCTCTGAAGTGTGATTTATTTAAGTGCAGAGCTACTCCTTAACTCAGATTTGTAAATCTGACCTTCACAGTTGGCTCTAATACATCTGAAAGTGGTTCATTTGAACTGTGCTATGCCTAATCACATTACAGTTGTTTTGTTAATTGTTTTGTAACTATCCAAATCCATTTGCTGTGTCTCCTTTCAGTTGCTTGCAGGAGCTACTATTATCAGGATGATCAAGCCAGTTGCTGGCAGGAAAGCTGTCCGTTCACAGGAACTGGAAATACATAATATTTTCAGTAAAACTGACTTTAAGAACAACCACGGGGCCAGCCTGGGAGCTCACCTGGCCCAGCAGCAGAGGATATCTGAGGAGAGTAAGACACAGAGCAAAACTGCAGTGCTGCTTGGTCAGAACTGTCTTTCATAGCTCCAAATCTATTTTCTGAGTCGGAAGGGTAAGATACCACATGGCTCTAAAGTTGGAGGTATTTACCCAGGTACCTTATTTTACATTTATTTTTATTGGCCGTTTTGTTATTCAGCTGCTTGGTACTGTGAGATCCTTGCCTGAATTCTCCTTGTCTGCACTGGGCTTTACTATCCTGGCTAATGCAGCATCATCAACAATTTTTGGAGCTTCTATATTCATGAAAAGTGAAACAAAGCTCAAAGGAAAGAAAACGAAGCTGTGAATACCTGGAATATCTAGGGCAATTCACACCTGTCTGAGCAAATCATACAGTCCAGGGAATCTCTTTTTGACCTGTATTATTTGGACCACATTGCTGGAAGAAGTAATCAAACATTTGTGTTTCTAGTGATGGTCTATATATCAGTGTCATTGGTTGTTTCTGATGTACAAAAGTGTTGCAGCCCTGCAGAGAACATTTTGTCCGCTCAGCCCAAGGGCAAAGCACTTCAGGTGCAGCTGTAAGTGCTATTTAGTTTTTAAATAAGTTCTTACGGTGCTCTGCATGCATGTGCTTTTGCCTATTGATTAAATAAGAAAGATTCTGTTTTTTTAAAAACACTTACATGGGTTTTTTTCAGTGGCTGGAGGATTATAGATTTTTCTGTGTGTGTGTGCAATAGCAGTCTAATATAGCTATTGGGAAAACAAAGGCATCCGTAAGCTTGCTTTTATGTATTCCTTTATCTTTGCTTCTAGTTAATCAACAAGGAGGGCTGAATAGCTCCACAGGGGTTGGCTTTGGGTAAAACAGCCCATTAGCAAGGTCCCACCTGAAGGCAGGCTGGCAGGGCTGGCAGCTCCAGGAGTCTTCCCTATCGAGTCACACAAACAACTGTGCTGCCCAAACTGCATTCCCTTATTCCCAAGGGAATGTCCTCTCTGCTCCAATTGATTTATGTCCCTGACACAGCTCTGTGTAGTATTTTCTGGCTTTGAGAGCCATCTACAAAAAGTACAGATTGATCATGGATCCTCCTGGGGTGGGTGGGTAGGATAAACCATCAGCCCCTTCTATCATGTAGCAAAGCTTTTATGAATCAATGCCCTTATCTAAAAAACTCCATGCAAACATTAGAGTCTGGCACCTGAAGAACTTGCTGCCAGCAAAAATAAGTGTTTTGAAAAAAAAGTAGAACGGTGAGTTTCTTTCCAAAATGAGTAGAAATTAAAACACTGGACTCTCTCAGCACTCTTAAGTGCTGTAGTATCTACTGCAGATAGAAGAGATTGTATCACCTGATGCAAGTGTTCTCATTGCTAATTCCCATCCCTCTTTTTATAATTTCCTAGACCTACTTCAGCATGGAAACCCTGGGAATTTAATTTCATCTCCAATATGTGCACTAGCAAGTGGAAAACTTGGATTTAAGTTAAATTGTAAGTGTGTAATTGTTAAAAGACTGTCGCATAATGTCAGATGGGTGAGCCTCCTAGCTCTGGAACAGGCAACTCCAAGCTTCAAAAGACAGAATAAGAAGGTGTAAAGGAGGTAGGTGTAAAGGTGTATGTCAGCACAAACCTCAATAGCTACGTGAATCCTCCCATGATAATCCAGTGCTGTAGCAAATCATGTTGTGACCAGAGTGACCCTGAATCTGATAACTTCTGGGACTTTGTCATCCTCCTACAGCACCATTAATATCTTGAGGGTAGAGCTGCAGGATTGTGGCTGCAGCAGAAACATCATTATTCTCCTTTGTCATCATCCAGAATATGTTATCTCACCTCCCACTTGGAACTACTCCTGCTTATCAACTGCCAAACCCAAAAGCTACTGATAGATGTGTACAGAAGAAGCTTCATGGTAATTATTCAGTTACAGCTGATGACTGTTTTCTGTGTGTATTAGTACACCTCAGTGCTTCTGACTGTTTATTGGAACAGGATATACGGACTAGGCAGCGAAAGGGAAAGTTTGGCTCTGCAGGCAGTGCTGGTGGGTGAACTTGGGTACATCTGCACCACAGGACTCCACTAAGCAAGGGAAGTGCCACAATCCAGGGGAGTGGGGCAAAGGTGCCAGCAGAACTTGGCTGATGTAGGGACCCTTCCTACAGGCTTAGGAAATATTCACCAAGAGGATTAAAGCCTTTCAAAGATGGAATAGATTCTGCCTTCATAATATTTTTCTTTTCAGCCTCCATAAGAGTTGGCACAGCCTAGTGTGCTACAAAGCACCCTTTTTTTCCCTTGCTCAGAACATCCTGAATTAATTCTTGGCAGAACTACCTAACTCTGTGCATAGATAGGAACAAACTCCAGCAAAGCTGGGGCCTCCTGCGAGGCCATTCACCTGGATCTCTCCCCTCCAGGACTTTGTGAGTATGAAGACTTTCTCTGTACTCCTGTGGCAGATGGGTGGATATGGTAGAGCAAGAGCACCAACATCAACGCACACACAGAGTTAGGAAATGCAGGTGTCTAGAACTGAGACAGAGAATGATTTTGTAGATCATAAAGGCAACTGAAAATGCCCAGTGAGAGGGCACAGCTCAGATCAGCAGCTGTAAGATCAGATCTTGCAGCAGGAATGTGCACAGAGCTCTGCACTGGCCTTTCAGTAGCTCCTCTCAGCAGAGGAGCCCTCTGGAAATAGCTGCCTGGTTTGGCAAGATGACCTCAACAGCCATGTCTTCGAGGAGCATGAAAATCCCCACATTTCCCATGAGTCACAGGACACTCTCTGCTACACCTTAGGCCCTTGACCCCACCCACTGCCATCAGGAGTTTTGTGATAAAAGAAAATCAATCAAGATGTCCATGTCAGCTGAGTGTTCTCCAAACTCTGTCTCCCCTCCAGGCTTCTGAAAGCACTGGATCCATTCAGCAACCTGCATAGGCTGGAGCCCAAAGCACTGCTTGGCCTGGGCAGAGGAATCTTTGCAGGAATTCAGTTTAATGTGAAAATGCATTTCAATGCACCTTAATGACCCTCTGAAAGCACCTGCACCACCAGCATGACTGAGGTCACTGGGGACCTCCTGCTTGATTTAGCATAACCCAACGGATTTTAGTGGGCACTTGGTGCCTGTGTACACTTTAAGGTCCAGGTTTTAAGGATTCCAAGTAAGAACATAAAGCAGTGTCAAGCGTTTGTGGGGTTTGTGACTCAGCTGGAGAGGGAACTCCATATCCTTTTAGTAATTTGCTCAAATAAGATTTTTGAAAATCTGTTTTTATAGAGAAAGAAAATCCAGTGAATTTGCCTCTGGATTTCCTCCCTCTGCCTTCAAAAAGCAAAAGTGTTATTGCCAAAGTTGATTCTGATTTCCTTGCAGAAACTGTCCACTGTCCCTTCCATGGACAGTGCTGAAATACAATGCAAATGTGAGCAGTTAAAATACCTGAACGCAACAAAACCAGATTGGTGCAGAAAATCAGTGACGTTTTCCCCCACCCTTCCTTACGGAGCGCTGCTATTTTACAGCAGTAGAAATCCTTTTGGAGTTTCCTAGCTGACACAGAGCTACATATCTTTACTACTGCAAGAAGAAGAAAAGAAGAGAGAGAGAAAGGTAATTTCTAAAGTGAAAGTAAATTAGCCACAAAATAAAACATTTCTAAAGACAATTTCATGTCAGTTCAGAGGAGCCTTTTGGATTTATGCCATCTTAAGGCAAAATATCAGTACATGCTTCAGGACTGCCGGTCTTTTAATACTCCGTGTTACAGTTCAGAAGCTGTAAGGAAATGTAATTGGATCTTGTTATGCCTGAATTGATAGACTTTATTTTGGAATGTATTCTTCTATTAAAAGAAGAAATAATAGACTTTGCATGATTATTAATCTACTGTAATAATCCTCAATTGTACAGATTACTTTTCAGAAACACGAGCATTATCTTGCAGAAACTATGACATTTACTGGCTTATTTTTCTTCTGCATGCTGATGAACATGCTAACAGGTAAGATTACTACTGAACTTATCCTTGTTTATGTTTTCAAGTAGCCAGAAATATTTTGTAATGAATACAATATCCTCTATTTAGTATCACTTGTGTTCTGGCTGTTAGTTATAAGTATTTGGTTTGTAGCACTGAGTGACTGCAAATGGGGAATTTCTTATTCTACTGTTCAAGAAACAAAAATCCTTTGTCTATGCAGAGGGTCCTACATGGGCATTAACCCTAACCCTTATCTTCTGGCTACACGGGAAACCTTTTATTAATAGAAAGTCTTTCTGTGCACAAGTTGGTACTAATGTGTTTCCTCTTTATTCACAGATGCCCGATCCATCCAGGATGGAGATGGTAATTCCTAATGTATTTTTATTTGCTTTGTATCACTAATAATTAGGAGAGTAATTTGTAACTCCCAGACCTGATGCCCAGCAGAGACTTTGGCAGGAACGCTCACTAACCTCAATGGGCTGTGGAACTGCTTTCATCTAGTTCTGGTGGAGAAAGAAGAGTGAACTTTTAGAAATGTCTTTAAAATTTATTAAAAGCTGAAATATTAGTGTCTAATAGTAGAGCTAATATACTCAAAGTCTTAAAATGAAAAGGGACTATGGTCAAGTCACTAATTCTGTTGTACAAAATCATAACTGGAAAGCACCAGACTTGTAGGTGTATCAGACATCTGAGGATTTTGTCTGTCCTGAACAGTAATACTGTATGTGCATCTGATTATTGGCAAGAGATACTGGCCTCCACAACATAAAGCTTAAAATTTACAAATTGCCACAAATCCAATTACAGAAATGTTGGACTAAATCCCTTAGCAAAGCTACCCTGTGGTTCGCGTCGCTTTGTGTGATTAGTCCATTGGATTAGTGTTTGCCTTTGATTAAATAAAAAACCCTCAACACCCTAATGATGTTTACAGTGGCTTGCTGATGATTCTATCAGTTAACCTCTCTTTGGCTTTTCAGACAGAATTCTGTCTGGAAACAAAATTGCAAAGAAGTATCTGCAGTAATCAGGTACTGCTATTGCTGGTGTACATCTAAGTTAACCAGCAGGAAGGCCAGCAGCATGTCCAGTGCACAGATACAAATATGCAGAGAGTATTATAACAGATATGAACTGTAGAAATACAAAATAAGGTCTAATATGAAGTTATAATTCAAACCTTTCCCCCTATGCCCCAATCTATTTCTTCATAGCTCTAAAATATTTTGAATGTATCACCTGCCTTTGTGCTTGGCAAACACTTCTGCAGCAACCTTCTGAGGTGGTCAGAGGAGCCTGTGTCAATGTGAAAATACAACCCTCTTCAGGCAGTGTTCTGTTGCTCTCATTAATAGCAATTATGGTTTTCTTTCATACTGGGCCAAGCAGCAGCCTGCAAAGTGAATCTAAGGTCAGCTGGTATAAACAGTGAGTTCTCCTCTGCAGACAGCATTTCACTGGTTCATTTGTTTGGTTATGTGCCATCTGGGCCTGTGCACTGCAAACTTTACTCCATAAAATTAAGCTCTGACAACAGGATTGTTGAAGGCTCTTAATTCCTACTAAAGACCCTGCTGAGTGGTCCCAAGCTGAGTGGAATGGCTCCCATTTATCTAAATAGGCTTTAAATCAAAACAAAATACTGGATTTAGCTTTGCTGCACAGAAAGACATTTGTAACTATGTGGTATCAGCTAGTGTTTATATGTTATATATGCTTCTGTGTTTGCCCAGATTTGGGCCCAAGGGTGGTCAGCTTCTGCATTTTCAGAACCGACTTTGTTTTCCTGCTGAATTTGAAATCATTTCAATGAGTATATCACATTTTCTGATATTCCTAGAGCAGGCACAAACACAACAGCTGTCTTCCAGGCGGCAAAACCTTTCCTTTCCCTTCCCTTAGCCTGTTTCCTACAGCCCTCTGAGAAGAGGACAGCTGCAGTCCCAGGCAATGTCAGGGAAGTATGGCCTCAGTCCTGGGGAGCTCTGTGGGCAGAGCGGGCAGCTGCAGGGTGAGAGTATAGACGATGGTGCCTTATTCCTTATATTTTTATATTGGGCAAAGCAAATTGTGTGGAATGAGAAAAAATGGCTTTCAATTGCAACCACTCTGCCTTTAAATAATCAGCAGCCTTCTAGCAATTAAATCAGCCTGATGAATTCTTGAATTGCCCTAGATGTGGATGGTGTGCCTTCATTCCTCCTCTCCATCTTGTCCCACTCTGTCACCCCGGGTGCATCAGGAGCAGGGAGTACTGGCTTCATCTTTTACAGAGTGAGGGATGGAGAGGGGTTGAAGGCTCTCCCTGCCTCTCTCCTGCCAGAGGAGCCCATAAGCCTCGTTAGGGAACCCACAACCCCAAACCATATTGGCTCCCAGGACCAAGCTTTCAACACAAATGCTTTGTATTACAGTAATCTGCAACATTTTAATTTGGTTGTTTCTTTAAGATCTGTACCAGGAAGCTGTAGCCTTGCCATACTGGCCCTTCTCATCCAACGATTTCTGGTCCTACGTGGAATATTTCCGGACCTTGGGAGCCTACAACAGGATCAATGAAATGGCCAGAGCTTTCTTTGCCCAGTTCCCTTTTGGGAGCCACCTTGGCTACCACGTGCCTGACCACGAGCGCTAAGTGCCTCACTCAGCTTTGCTAGGGCCAGTGCTGAGGTGTTTGGGTGAATACCTGTCTGACAGCAAACATACCCAGGCTGCCCTCAGCCGCTTCGTGATACTCACTGCAGTCACACACGGCATTTCATGCTTTAAATTAGTTTCCTTTTTACAATTTATGAGTGCCAAGGTGTTAGAGCGAATACCTGCTAGTGAACGCACCTGGGCTGCCCTCAGCCACTTTGTGATACCACAGCCACGTGCAGAATTTCATGCTTTAAATTAGTCTCTTTTGTGCAACTTAGAGGTGCCAATAAATGCAGCTGGGCTGGCCTCAGCCATTTAGTGATACTCACTGCAGTCGCACGCAGCGTTTCATGCTTTAAATTTTTTACAATTTATCCTTTCGCGTGAAAACAATAAACTCCTCCATCCTGCTGCACAGTTTTGGGAGCTTTTTTTACCCGTGATGCTCACAGCGTTGACTCAGGAAACCGCTCTCTGAGAGCACAGGAGTCATGTGTGTGTACAGGAATTATCCGGCCAGTCCGCCCAGTCTGGGGGCTGCAAGGACCACCAGTTTAAACCACAGCTGCACCCTCTGCAGAGCAGCGCCTCACCTCAAGCCTTGGCCCGCCATAAGGGGAGGGCGGGGGGCGCAGAATGGCGGCCGCCATTTCCCTCCTCGCCATGGCAACGGCGGCGCCCCCGCCCACAGGGCGGCCATGAGAGGCGGCTCCTCCTCGCCCGCGGAAGTGACGGCGCAGAGGGGCCGCCATGAAGCCGGCGGTGGACGAGATGTTTCCCGAGGGAGCCGGGCCGTACGTGGACCTGGACGAGGTGAGGGGGGAGCAGGGGGAGCCGTCGCCGTGCCGCCGTGGCGCGGGGGCGCTCAGCGGCTGCTTTCCCAGGCAGGGGGAAGCACGGGGCTGCTGATGGACCTGGCCGCCAACGAGAAAGCTGTGCACGCCGACTTCTTCAATGGTAAGGACCGCCGCCGGCTGGGCGGGGGGGGGGTGAGGAGTGTCGCAGCAAACCTCGCTTTTCGCTGATCTCATATCTTCGATGCCTGGTGGCCGCTAAACTTCTCACTAACTACATCTCTGGTGAGCGGTGTAAGAGCGCTTTAGTGTTAAATAATGCAGGCAGGAGCGGCAAAATGCGTGGTTTTCCTCTCCTGGAAGTTTTAGTACTGATCACCACAAGGTAAAATACCTTTATCTGTTTGCATAACAAGTAACTTATATTAAACTATGCAAATAGGTACAAAAACGTGGAATGAACTTCAAAAAATTGTGTCTGGGCGTTACATAGGTGGTTCATTAATCTCTTAAAGTATGCGTGCATATGTGTCCCAAGGAGAATAAACCACTGTTTTTAATGCAGTTTCTGCATTTGAAAGTGAGCTGTATGCATATAGAATCATAGGATGGTTGGGGTTGGAAAGAACCTTAAAGATCGTCAAGTTCCAACCCCCCTTCTGCTATCCCAGGTTGCTCAGAGCCCCGTCCAACCTTGCCTTGAACACCTCCAGGGATGGGGCAGCCACAGCTTCTCTGGGCAGCCTGTGCCAGGGCCTCACCACCCTCACAGTGGAGAATTTCCCCCTAATATCCAATCTAAACCTATTCTCTGTCAGTTTGAAGCCATTCCCCCTTGTCCTGTCATTCCAAGCCCTTGTAAGCAGTCTCTCTGCTTCTTTGCCATAAGCTCCCTTCAGGTACTGGAAGGGTCCAATTAGATCACCCCAAAGCCTTCTCTTCTCCAGGCTGAACAATTCCAATTCTCTCAGCCTAGATTTAAGTATAGACAGCTGCTTTGAGAGGAAAGAGCTACATATCAGGCCACTTAGTGGTAGAATATAGAACACTGCTCTTGATTACTAAGGGTTTTTCTATGCTTCTCAAGAAGTATGTTTGGACATTCCAACAGGGAGTTTCAGATACATTATTAAATCTGGTTGCTGTAGTGGTGTTAATATCACAAACTGGTATTAATTCAAAAATAAAGTAGGTTTCTCGTGGTTCTCAACAATTAGAATGCAGGAGAAAAAGGAATTTTCAATTATACTCTCAGGAGTGGTGAAGGAGCTGGCTCTGTGTTGGAGCCAGCATATTCAGGAGCAGGTATTTCCGTAAAGTTCTGCCATCATGGTATTATATTCCATTGGTATTTTAGGACTCTTCTAAATGAGGATTAATCCTCAGTTTATTGTATGGCACGTAGACTGCCTTCTATAAGAATAAAGGCTTGTATTCAGTTATGTTTTTAGTTTATGCTCAATATACAAAGAAGATACAAAGCTGAGTAGTTAAGAGCACTTTCCAAAGATGAAATGTAGCCAGCCACATTTCACTAGTCTGAAATGAGTTCCGAGAGAGAAATGTTATTAGCACCTTCAAAGCAATGAAATGTTTTTAAGGAGGGGACTTTTAACAGCAAATCCCACTTGAGAATGTCAGTCTGCAGCATTTAGAGGTGTGCCTGGATGCTGTGACCTAAAGCCAGGATTCTGCAGGAGTGTTTACATCTGAGACTTGCTGCATGCATAAAGCTAGCACTTGCTTTGTTCTGGGCTCAGGGAATCCTGCTTGATCCACTCTCTGATGGCTACTTAATGCTGTTATAAAAGCCCCTTCTTTTAAGCTTAGCTTTCATGAGTTTGATTGCACAACTTGTATTGTACAAGTGGGGCAGTTTAACTGTGCGTGACAGAGAATGTGTCCGTGGGTTTGCCTGCCTTTGCTGTCTCTTTCCACCCTGATTACATTTCCAGTAGTAGATGGTGCAGTAACTGTCATTCACTTAATTCACCTTTATTTCTGTTTTTAATCCAAATAATGAAGTACTCTACTTGAATATGTGCATTTCTAACAGTTGAAACTTTTTAAGGGTAATTTTACCTTGTCTTGTTTTTCTGACTAGATTTTGAAGATCTCTTTGATGATGATGACATCCAGTGAAGTTGGTTGTCCAGCTATGCAGTGCTGAGATGTGGATTTTTCTCTAGGATCACCTGTGGTGTCCATTATTTATTAAAGTAATCGAAATGGGAAAATCACAAGCCAGGGGGGAAACCTGCATAAGCTGCTCGGGGAATATGAAAACCAGATGGTTAAAGATAACTAAGGAGGGAATTGTGGAATGTTATTTCTAGGAAGCTGTGCGTAGATTTCTGTGGAAATTTTATTTGCTGATGTGCTTATTGAATAAAATACTAAAAAAAAACTCTCCTTCACTCTGGGTTGTACTTTGAAAGTAGTTATTGCTGTGTTCTGAGGTCCCTTACAGAATGATTTTTTAAATTTTTTTTTAAGTAATTCACTGTTACTTTTGGATGTTACATAAAAGATACATGGCAGGGTGCATTGCTGCCTATTAAAGTTTTGTTTGTCCCACAATAAAGGATTGATTATCTTGGGTTAAGATGGTTGCTTGTTCTGAATAGCCCAGTTTGTTTGTTGGTCACACTAAGAGCAGTGTAAGTGGTTTTCTGTTTCGAGACATCAGTACTTCACTTTTAATTTAGGAAGCACAGAAACCAAAAGTAATTTCACCTTGATATTTTAAGCAGAAAAGTCTTCTGACCCTGGACCATGGGAATGCTTGGATTTAAAAATATAATTTAATTCTTGAAATTGTACTTTACAGAAAGAAAATAATTTAGGATTCTTTTCTCCTGCAGCAGGTAGTGCAGTTGTTTGTACTCAGAGGTAAGTGTATATGAGTTAAGTGTTGACATATTAGTTCAGATTTTGACACAAGTTTTCAGAATGTTTTTAGAAATGTTTCATTTTCACCCTTCAGTGACCAAAGGGAATCTCAGAATGAAAGGAACAGGTGAGTTTTTAGCACATTATTTCTGAGTCAAGAGTGTATCCTGTCTAATCTCAAATGCAATGTGTATTCCATAAATTGATCACAAAAATGATACTGTATCATTTTTGATACAGTATACTGTATCTTTCTTTGAATGCCTGGCACTGATTAAATTTCACTTGAACTGAAGCTCTCTCCTCCCCTACTTCTTTCACATTTTTTTTCCTTGCTTTGCCTTATAAAATGAAATCTTAAATTTTACAGTGTCTGTGCTGACCACTAAGCTTAAAAACATAAGCACAATAAACCTAGTAGGATTTAGATGTCTTTTTATTGTGCTCCTGTGGATTTCTGAGCAGCCTGTGTTTCATCGTGCAGTGAACATTAAATCAGCGTTTCTGACACTCTGCTTGGTGTCTGATGCTGCCATGTGTCCCTGAAGGAACAGCCTCATTCAGGCAGTTTCCTTTCCCTTTTAGTGCTTGCTTTGCTTAGAGCTGGGTATTTCCAGCTTTTCTCATTGAAACCAAGGTAAAACAGTTTGAGAGGTGGCAAGTGTATTTGGGCTGTCGTCTCTAGCTTTGGTGCTGTGCTTTCTCCAAGCCAGGTTTTGAAAGTTGGTGCCTGTAAATAGAGGCTGCATTCTAGGCAGGAGCAAATGATGAAATAAGATCTAAGAAGCAACTCTGCTCTTTAGCTACTTTTCCTGATTCCTTAAGATGGTCATCTTGTTTTTGGAATGTTTCCTTGTCCATGTTTTGTACATACTTTTTGGTTTTTCATTTGCTTTCCTCACGTTGTAAGAAACTTGAGCCCTGTGTTTGGTCCCAGCAGGAGGAGTATATTCTGTCATATGAACTCATGTTGAACAGTTGCTCTTCAGTATGGGTGGTGTTCTCTTTTTAGACATGTCCAAAACCTCAGTGAACATGGGTTTGAAGGTGCTCATGGTGAGTAGTTCTAGTTTTGAAATGTCTTTCACTTGATCAAAACATGGAACCTTTACAGAACTGGATAGAGGGCAAATAATGCTCATGGGACCAGCCGGACTTTCCATCCTGGTAGGATACAGCTCTCCATTCAAGGTAGGTATAGCTAACACACCTTTTTGTGAAGCTTTCCAGAAGCTGTGTTCCATGTTAAAAAGCAGCGTAAATAGTATGCTGGCAGTACTGTGAAAGGAACATTCTTCAGGGTTGGGATGGGATGGGATTGAAGGTATGTATGTTGTAGCTGTCTGGAGTATGAAGTTCTGTCATCCACAGTGAGACTAAGTGAGGGTGTGTGTTTAGCTTCATCTCTGTAAAGAGAACTGTCAGTGTGTGAAACTTTCATCAGGAACTGTAATTTGTTTGGATCCCTTCTGGGACGGTATTATATGAGAACAAAATGCCCTTCAGCTTCACATTGTTTCTGTGTTATCTTCTGTCAAGACTTTGGTCTAATTAGTCTGTGGGCAATCAGCCTGTTGTCAGGAAATAATCACAAGATGTCAAAAGCTCTAATAAAAATTTATGTAAAGGGCATTTGACTGCCTTGGCCAATTAATTTATCGAGCTTTGATTCCTGTACCTTCTGTGGAGATTGACACCTCTCGTAATAGGTGTTTCTGAGGAAACAAGCCTCTTCCAGCAGCAGTCTGCACCCATTTACACTGATGTGTGTTACTTTATAAGCTGCTGGGTCCAGCTCGGTATTTCAATATCCAGATAAAGGCTCCAATCTGAATAGATTTATGAACTGTCCCAGTGACTTCAGTGGAACAGCTGGCAATCTGTAAAGCTGAGCTTCTGCCTGAGCCTTGGCAGGATGAGGGCCCAAGTGCTGAAAGGCCTTAGAAGGGGTGTAGCCAGTGATGCAGCACAGATGAAAAGGAATAGCTTCAAAACACTTAAATGTCAGCCTGTTCCCTTCAATGTTCTCACCAGGCCAAGGCTCTGTTTGCAGGGAACCGCAAACTGTCCCAGTACAGTCCTTGGAAATAAGAATGTGTGATCTGATTTGAGCTGAAAATAATCCAGTCATTGTGAGGGAGAGGAAGTTGCCATGCTAAAGGAAACTGGCTGTCATCTGTGCATAATATTTCTGCAGTGCCTCTTCTGAGTTGGCTTTCAGGTTATAGAGCCAACTGCTACTGCTCTTAATGCGAGCAGGAACAGGCAAGCTCAGACCTAATATGGCAGCAGTGGGTTTTCCTTGGTGGTTTTCTGCTTTGTTTACTTCCAGGGAATTAAAAGTTTTCCTTTTAATATTTTATTTCAATAATTGGAGTGGAAGGTATTTTTCTTGATAAAGAAGGAATTGATTTAGATGAATAAATTGAGTCCTTCCTGCTTCCCCAGGGTGTTGGGAAGCTGGCAGGCATCTTCCTGCTCTCAATGTGCAGTTGTTCAGCACATGAGAACATGCTGGGCAGATGATAGTGCAGCCCTGTTCTCTGAAGTCCCTGTTAGTGATAGGGCTGGAATGCCAGTGTCACATCAGAGATATTTTCAAAAAGCACTAGCACAATGCAACTCAGTCCTTGGCAGCAGGGGGGAACTTTGAGCACAAGGATTGGCTTCTATGTTTTTACTTCCAGGTTTATTTATTTTTTTTAGTTTACCTTTTATATTTGCTCCAGTTGTTCTTTGTCAAGAGCAGGATGACAATCATGACCCAAATAATAACCTTTTTCTCGAGCTACTATGGGGAGTTCAGAGCAGAGGGAGAGAGGAGCCGTGTCTTTTAAAGCTTTTAAAATTCACAAACAGGACATTTTTGGTGAATGCTGCTTTCTTACTTATGAAAAAAGTCTTACATAATCTTCATTCATACCCTCTGACCTTCCCTGCCTAACTGGAGGGGATTTAGAGAGGGGCTTCAAGTGGGATCTCCTCCCTCCCTCCTTCCCTGATGCCGCTCCATAAACCTGTCCTGCTTTATGGGAGAGGTCCCACAGATTGCCTTGAGGGTGGGAATACACACAGGAAGAAATGGATGTTGATGTTTAATGCTTCCATTTAATTGGGAATAAACCTTTCCTTCCCCTTGGACTGGAGAGTAACGAACTGCACCTGCATGAAAGGCCACTGTTGTCAAAGAGCAGTGGTGTTATGCTGGGCTGGTCTCCTGGGATGAGTCTAAGGATGAGTTGAGGGTGGGTTTGATGAAGAAAGTCAGTGACATGGGACTGTAAATCATCAGGTACTTACAGCTAGTATAAATATCAGAGAAACGTGGCAGCCTGGGGATGCTCATGATTGCTTCCTTCCAGAGTATTTCAAAGGGTAGGCTTTAAATCTGATGGCATTTCCTGCATGGAAGTATAATGGTGGATTAGCTAAATGTAGGACTTTATCCTAATCCCTCTGCCTGCTTCCACGACAAAAAGCTTCTAGTGAGTTTATGCTTCACAAATACAAGTCTTGCAAGCAATTTATCTTTTTCTTGTAGCTCTTCATGGTTTAGTGCAGCTGCTATTTGTATTCCAATTAATTACTGGCACAAGTGATTACATGGAGTTGAGGCGCAATTAGGACCAGCCTATAATTGTGTTTGAAAGGGCTATGGATGCTTTTACAGATGGTTTCCCTGCTGGATGAGATTGGCCAGTCTCTCCAGCTGCCTCCAGCTTTCCATGTTATTTCTCCCTAAGTGTTAGTGCAGTGACTTAAATCTTTCGTTGGGGAATGTTCTTGCTTTCTGCCTCTATGAGTACATTAGCTTCTAAAGGGAAAAACATCCATTTAAACCTGCCACAGTTAGAGAGGCAGTAAATAGTAAGACATAACTTTGTACTAGGCATCTACTGTCAGGATTGATTAAGAAAACACAAACTAAAACATTTAAATTTGTTGGAGAGCAGGTGATTTTGTGCCCTCTCAGCATGTCAGTGTCATTCTTGGCTCTTTTGTTACAAGATAATTGTGTGTTTAAACAATTGTGTGATCCTTGGGAGCCAAGCCCAGGCCTTGGAGATGTGCCTGTGTTGGCCAGGTTTTCCCCTCCCATGGGTTTATGAAACATGGAGGGAGAGTAAAACCACACCAACTCTGTAATGGAAAAAGGCTGGATTCATTAGGAACTCCTCTGAGCTCATCCCCCAGGACTTCATTACCCTCCCAAACCCTATTTGCAGCTCTCCCCTAAAAGCAGCACAAAGCTGGTGTGGTGGCCTGCAGCTTCCTGCCCACAGTCAGCCTGGCCATGTGCCCCTGACATGGCAGAGCTGGGGAGGTGGAGGTTTGATATCCATCCCACATGCAGGAATGTGGTGGATCCTGGGCTAAAAAGGCTGCCTAGGGTCCCGCAGCCTGGTGGGGTAATTGCTGGCCACGCTCAGGTGCTGCTCCTGAAGATTGCCAGCATGTTTTGGCTGGTTGAGACCCCCGTGCAGAACCCTGCAGGGGCTGGGCAGCCTCAGGAGGCAGGAACGGTGGTGCTAAGGGCAGCTTCAGGCCTTGACCCTGGC